CTCTCTCTCTCTCTCTCTCTCTCTCTCTCTCTCTCTCTGTTTCTGAGGGCGGATGAGAGTCTGCGATCTTGGGCTGCCCAAGGAGAGCTGCTGCTCTATTTATAGAACAAGAGTGCTCAGAAAAAGACTGGTGGGTTTCAGCGGAAAAAGCTGGGGAAAAGATAAAGAACATGATTTCTTTGAAGCCTTCACACAAACTGCATTTCTTCTCCTGATTCGCTGCTTGTGAATACTATAGATATGCTGCAGAATATTTTTAAACGTTTAGTCAAAAGCAATGAACCAAAAGTGGTCAAGAAAATAACACCCCAAAATAATGTGCTATGTTTTGCACGTGGCAGCTGTGAAAGGCACCCACAGCAAACGCTGCTCGGCTGAAAAGGCCTCTGCTTGCCCCCCAGAGCAGAGTCAGGAGTGAAAGGGCCGGACCCCTGCACAGTTTGCTCAGGCTGTACCAGGCCACCGGACTCTGAGAGTCACTTTGTTGGGTTCTACGCACAAACAAGTGGGCCAACTGTTGTTCAAGCCGTCTAGGATGCCCTTATTCCCAGCAGAGGCGTCTAGGATGCCCTTATTCCCAGCAGAGGCAAATTTGCAATACACACAGCACCAAGAAAACTCTCAAGCTCCAGTCAGATAGAGAGCAGCAGGTGGAAAGCGAACACGTGCCCACCCACAAATACAAGGGAGACACCAATCCCAATGCTGGGCTCCCTGGAGGAAGCTAGCGAGAGCACTGGGCCTGAGCTGGAGTGTGGTCCTGGGTCCTGGCCATCCAGAGACCCAACAGACACACGCCGAACCCACAGACCCAAGACTACCACGTGGAGCTGCTTGGGGAGAAGTGCCAGCCTCCAGTGGTCCTTGCTTAAGAGTAAGACAGCTCTGAGAATGCCTTTGAAAGGGGCTTCAAACCACAAGGCAGAGAAAGTCCAGAACGGACTCCCCGAGCCCAGGTCAAACACCCACCTGCCAGGCATTCTCTGTCTGGAAGGGACAAGCAGTCCCAGTCACAGGGTGAAGCTGCCCCCTCTCTGGGAAGGCAGTGAAGATCTCTTTCCTCCCTCCCTTCCTCCACTCCTTCCTCCAACATACAGCCGTATCACCAGGTGCTGGCCACTACGCTGGGTGCTGAAGGCTACGTGGGCAGGAGCTCAGACCAGAGGAGGGCAGATGTGTGCACGCCAGAGTGCTTTGGGATGTGGGGCACAGGGCAGTGAGCAATGCCCTGTAAGGGAGGCTGCCTGAGACGACAGGTGTCTGAGCAGACCAGGGAGGAGGGGCTGGACAGCCAGAGGCCCGCAGCTGCTCCTTAGGGCTAGAAACAGAGTCCAGTGGTGGCTCAGAAATATACTCTGGAAAGCTGACTGGGGCCACAGTGTGGGAAAGAAGAGGGGGTTGAAACGTGGAGGATGGCAGAACACTCCAGAAACTCGCATAGGGGGTTTTTGGTGACAAGAGTCTAGGGTGGCAGGGGATAGATGGACACAGGCATAAGAATGTTCAGAAAGATGTGACAATTGACCAAAGTGAAGAGGAGGAGTCAGGACAGAAATCAAGGTTGACTCCGAAGAGTGTGGCTCAGTTGCAGAGGGTGTGGGTTTCATTCTGGACGTGCTCAGTCTGTGGGCCTCAAAGTCGCCAGGGGAATTCAGTGTAAGCCAACAGCCAGTTCTGCGGGTCTGTAACGTAGAAGGTTTAACGCAGGAGATGCCTTGCCAAGGGCCCCCAAGGAGAAGGCATGGAGTGCACAGAGGCCCAGGGAAATGGGAACACAGGGTCACCAACATCAGGCAGAAAGGAGGAAGGAAAGCCAGAAAAGGAGAACGAGAAGAAAGTGGACAGAAGCACAGGAGAGGAGAGAGCGCGTCGAGAAGATTGCATCGACATTGTCCAATGCAGCAGCGAGGTCATAAATGAGAACTGAGATGAGGATAAAGGACGCAGCCACCAGGGGGTCACCAGGACCTGCCAGAGCGAACATGGTGGCCTGATGGGGTCAAAGCCAAATCAAATCACCCTGAGTGTGACTGGGATGGGAGAAGGCAAAATGACAGGTTTTTTCCAACTCACAACTTTCTTTTTATGAACATGGAATCCATACTGTACATACTGTATTTGACCTTGCTATTTTTTCTGTCATGTATATTATCACCACATAGCCACATCAGCAAATGCATTTTTGCTGGCTAGAGAGTATCTCACTGCACCCACACACTCTCGCCTCCATCATTCACCTGCTTCCCACTGCCAGAACGTTTAGAATGCTTCCCGTTCTCTCAATGCTATCAACAGAACTTCAGTGGATATTCCCGTAAGTAAATATCTGCTTATGTCTTCAACTATCCTTAGAGCAAATTAAGATAAGTGGGAATTTGGGGACCAAAGGTAGCCCAGAAACAGACACCCAAAGATTTGGAAGCTTGATGTGTAATAGGCGGCACTGCAAACCAGGGTTTGTGGGGAGAGGGACTTCAGCAAAGAGGCTGAGATGGCAGGTTACCCACGGACACCACACTCGTGAGCTCCTGGCAGACTCTGAATGTGCTAGAGAGCAAAAGGCAGAACTTGAAAACGTCCGGCAGATGATACAGAATTTCCAATGACTTTGGAATTGAAAAAAGTTTCCTAAATATAATTAGAAAAAATATTAGACACA